GGCGGAGGAAGATGGTGTTCGAGTCGGTGGTCGTGGATGTGTTGAACCGGTTCCTGGGGGACTATGTGGTGAACCTGGACACGTCCCAGCTCACTCTGGGCATCTGGGGAGGTAACGAGACGGTCGCCGGCCCTCAGTCCTGCCTCCCTCCCGGCCAGGTCCTCGGGCCCCCGGCTGGCCCGGCGTCGCCACCTGCCACCGCCCTCCGGGGTCAAATTACGTAAAGCCGGGCGACAGTTCCAGGCCTTCGCCCGCGAGGTGTTTATTCTTGGCAGGAGGGGCAGGGGGCTTGGGTGCTGGGGGGAAAGGCCCTCTTTTTTCGAGCCGCGTGGCCGGGGGTCCCGTAGTTGGACTCTCTGGGTCTGGAGTTCAGATTCCTCCCCTCGTGGCCCGGCGGCAGCGGTGCTGGGCGCGGGGCGGCAGCCAGGAGCACCGGTGCTCGGTCTCCATCCCTGTCATTCCCCCCTTGGGCTGTGACGGACGGCCCGCGAGTGTCGCACGCCGCCCCGCACGTGAAGGCAACACGCTGTGGCCAAGACGCCCTGCCCTCTTCCTTCCTGCCCGGCCTCTGCATGCTGCCGGGCCGGGGTGTGTGCTCGGGCCATGCCACCGGGGTTGCTCGTCTGGATTCCGCTGATAAGAAAAAGCGAAACTCCTGTGCGTAATAAACCCAAAGGGGCGGTTGTGTGTTTTCAATTCACAATCTGACCCAGGAAGGTCTTAACTAGTAGGTTTGTGAGGCTTCGGGGTGGTGGGTTGGAGAGAATTGCGGACTTTTTAAAGAAACGAGGTGCCGCTGTGCAACCTCTCAGATCTGCAAAAGGCAGGGCTGAAACCTGCGCTTCACGCTGCTGCCTAGACAGTGAAGGACGAAGCTTTACTTCGTATCTGTGTACTCCAGTGCTTTTACCTTCTTTAAAGCCTCATTTTTAGTGCTTTCATGTTTGTAATATGCCCTTAGAAGTCAGATTCCTTTTCTTTATGAAATGACTCTCCCAGACCAAGGTTAGGGTTATTATTTTTATTTTTATTTTTGGTGTGTGTGAATAGTGTGTGTGTATTTAATAAATTATTCTTGAATATGGACACACTTTCAGACTTCTTCTAAAATACTTTTTAATCTTGATTTTTTCCCCCTCTCTGTGACATAGTGTAATCGTAAAGAAGACCTTTTGTTACTAATCTTGGTACCTCGCTCCATAATAGACTCTAAGAACTAGGGACATAAGTGCTAGGTCAACATCTCTGATGCGTAACAGAAAGTTGCATATTGTTTCATCTGTGCTGCTTCTCATTTGCAAAGTTAAAATAACAAAACGTGTCTCCACCTACCTCAGAAGGAAGCCATAAGAACATTTCGTGGTGTACTTTGATTTATAGTGGAAGTTTGATTCTACATACAAGGTGTCCCGGTCTGGCAACACACAGAGGCTGGGATTTATCCTGGGATTTGATTATTTAAAATTTACACATATTACAATTCACCCTTGTGATGTACAGTACTATCTGTCTTGACAAATGCAAAGATGTGTATACACCAGCTGTCATGATAGGGAAGAGTTCCAATAAGACTCCCAAATTCCCTCTGCTGTCCTTTTGCAATCCATTGCACCCAGCCCCCAACCCTCCTCTGGGAACCACTGTTTTGCCTCCATCTCTACAGTTTTATTTTTTCTAGAGTGCTATGTAAATGGAATTATATGATGTGGCTTTTGGGGTCTGGCTTCTTTTAGTTTCACTTCTTTCACCTAACTTCTTATGTAAAATGAATTTGAGAATTACCCATGTGTTGCATACATCGGCATTTCATTCTTACACTATTTAGTGGTACTTTTGTATGATTGTACTATAAATGTTTATCTCATCATGGGTTGAAGGACATTTCAATTTTTGGTAATTATGAAGAGCTGCCATAAACATTCATGTACTGGTTTTTGTGTGATCATAAATTTTTATTTCATTGGATAAATACCTAAAAGTGGGATTTCAAGGTCATATGGTAAGTATATATTTAATTTATGTGAAGCAATGAAACTGCTTTTCAGAGTAGCTTTACATTTGGAAGTCTCCCCAGCATTGTATGAGTGCTTAAATGCTCTGTACCCTTTCTAGCATTTAGTAGTGTCACTTAAAAAAATTATTATTTTTTGGCCATTCTAGTAGGTACATAGTGATAAAGTGTTACGGTTTTAATTTTTACTTCCTTAGTAATTGAAGTTGTTGAACTTCTTGTTCTTTGCTGTTTGTATAGTCCGTTGAAGTGTCTTTGTCTTTTGCTTATTTATTTTTTTCTTTTTCTATTGATATTAATTCGCATTTTAAATTCACCCTTTTAACATGGAAAGTGTTTTTTAGTATAGTCAAAACATTGTGCAATTATCAACAATGTCTAATTCTAGAATATTAAAAAATATTTATTATTGAAAGTATTACACATGTCTCCTTTTCCCCCTATTGATCTCTCCCTACTCACTCCCCCCCCAGCACATGTTCCTGCTGCCTTACTGTCTATGTCCTTTGGTTATGCTTATATGCATGCGAGTCTTGGTTGATTTCTCTCTTTCTTTCTCTCCCTCTCTCTCTTTTTTTTTAGTCCTCACCCGAGGATACCTTTCATTGACCTTTAGAGAGTGGAAGAGAGAGAAAGCCAGAGAGAAACATCCATGTGAGAGAGACACATCGATTGGTTGCCTCCCACATGAGCCCTGAGCAGGGCCCAGGCCAGGGAGGAACCTGCAACCAAGATACTCGCCCCTGACCAGAATCGAATCTGGGACATTCCATCCACTAAGCCAAAGCTGGTTGATCTCTTAACCCCTGCCTTCCCTCTGAGGCTCCGTGTGAGGTTCCATGCTTCTATGTCTCTGGATCTATTTTAGGTAATCAGATTATATTGCTCATTATATTCCACAAATGAGTGAGATCATGTGATATTTATCTTTCTCCGACCGGCTCATTTCTCTAGCATAATGCTCTCCAGGTCCATCCATGCTATTGCACGTGGTAAGAGTTACTTCTTTTTTTTTTCCAGCAGTGTAGTATTTCATTGTGTAGATGTACCACAGTTTTTTAATCTACTCATCTTCTGATGGGCACTTAGGCTGTTTCTAATTCTTAGTTATTGTAAATTGTGCTGCTATGAATCCAGGGGTGCATATATCCTTTCTGATTGGTGTTTCTGATTTCTTGGGATATAGTCCTAGAAGTGGGATCACTGGGTCAAATGGGAGTTACATTTTTAATTTTTAAAAAAAATATGTTTTATTGATTTTTTACAGAGAGGAAGGGAGAGGGATAAAGATAGAAACATTGATGAGAGAGAAACATCCATCAGCTGCCTCCTGCACACCTCCTACTGGGGATGTGCCCGCAACCAAGGTACATGCCCTTGACCGGAATCAAACCTGGGACTCTTCAGTCCACAGGCTGATGCTCTATCCACTAAGCCAGTCTGATTAGGGCCCATTTTTCATTTTTTGTGGAAACTCCATACTGTTTTCCTCAGTGGCTGCAGAAATAAGCCAGGCAGTGAAAGAAAAACACCACATGATCTCACTCATTTATGGAAAATAAAGAACATTATAACCTGATGAACCAAAAGATAGATAAAAAGGCAGTAAAGCATTGAACAGACTGTCACATTACAGCGGGAAGGCTGGGGAGTGTTGGGGAGGGTGGAGAAAGAGATCAATCGAAGGACCTGTATGCATGCATATAAGCACAACCAATGGACACAAGACACTGGAGGCAGGGTGGGATGAGGGAATGTGACAGGGGTTAAGGGCAGCTGGGGGAAGGTCAATGGGGAAAGAAAGGAGATATATGTACTACTATGTGTAATACTTTAAACAATAAAAAAAATTATTTTTAAGAAAATTTTTTAAAAAAAGATCATACACCATGACCAAGTGGGATTTATTCCAGGGATTCAAGGCTGGTATAATATTCGCAAATCAATAAACATGATACATCACATAAACAAATTGAGAGACAGAAATCACATAATCATATCAACCAATGCAGACAAGGCATTTGACAAAATCCAACACCCATTCCTGATAAAAACTTTCAGCAAAGTGGGAATATAGAGATCAGACCTCAACATAATAAAAACTTTACATGACAAACCCACAGCCAACATCATACTCAATGGGCAAAAACTAAAATCATTTCCCTTAATAATGGGAACAAGACAGGGATGCCCACTTTCACCACTCTTGTTTGACATAGTACTGGAAATGCTAGCTGTAGTAACCAGACAAGAAGAAAAATAAAAAGCATCTCCAAATTGGAAAAGAAGAATAAAACTGTCATTTGCAGATGACATGATATTGTACATAAAAAACCCTAAAGACTCCATCAAAAAACTACTATACTTAATAAATGATTCGGCAATGTAGCAGGATACAAAATTAACACCCAGAAATCTATGGCTTTTTTATACACCAATAATGAACGCACAGAAAGAGAAACTAAAAACAAAACAATTCTATTTACCATTGCAACAAATAAATTAAGATACCGAGGAATAAACTTAACTAAGGAGGTAGAAGACCTGTAATTGGAAAATTACAGGGCATTGAAAAAAGAGATAGAGGAAGACATAAACAAATGGAAGAATGTATCGTGTTCATCGATTGGTAGAATCAACATCATTAAAATGTCCACACTACCCAAAACGATCTATAGATTCAATGCAATCCACATTAAAATACCAATGACATATTTCACTAACCTAGAACAAACACTCCAAAAATTCATATGGAATAAAAAAAGACTTCAAATAGCCGCAGCAATCCCGAGAAAGAAGAACAAAGTTGGAGGGATCACAATACCAGATATCAAGCTATATTACAAAGCCACTGTTCTCAAAACTGCCTGGTACTGGCACAAGAATAGGCATATAGACCAATGGGACAGAGAACCCAGAAATGGACCCAAGCCATTATGCTCAATTAATACTTGACAGAGGAAGCAAGAGCATGCAATGGAGTCAAGACAGTCTCTTCAATAAATGGTGTTGGGAAAATCGGACAGATACATAAAAAAATTCTAGAACATTTTCAACACCCACAAGATAAACCTCATACCCATTAATAGTCACTATAAAT